TGCGCTGTGAGCTGCCCAAGCTGGAGAAGCGCCTGCGGGCGACAGCGGAGCGCGTAAAGGCTCTGGAGTCTGCGCTCAAAGAGGCCAAAGAGAATGCAGCCCGTGACCGCAAACGCTACCAACAGGAGGTGGACCGCATCAAAGAGGCCGTCAGAGCCAAGAACATGGCCCGCAGAGGACACTCCGCACAGATCGGTTAGCACACACACTTTTAAAAAAAGTGCTGCTGTTAGATTCAGCCAAATGCTTACGGAAGGCACGTGTCTTTTGACATTTTGTCTTGGGTAGGGTTGAAGAGATTATACTATAACAGAGGAACAGTAAAAGTTGTTGAATGCTACAAAGATGTGTTTCTCACCTTTTTTAGGGATGTTAGTAGATTAAAATGATTAAGCATGGTGCATCTCGTGATTTCTTTGAATTTAACACAATTGATGGCCAGTTTTGAAGCTTTTCAGTTTGTTGTCATCTTTTAAAACAACTTTTAGGCATTAAACAACTGGGCGTCTTAAATGAAACTACTAATAATCACACACTATCAGACTTTTCAAGTTGTTCCATCAGCTCAAATTATTAAACCTGTTTGATTTCCTCTGACTAAATGGAATCATAATCTAAAGCTAAAAAATTGGAGTCTGTGCCCATAATAAACTAGGTGAAAAACTGTCAACTCTGAATGCCCAAAACTTGCAGACTAGCATTGATTCGTCCAGGCTGAAAATCTGTGCACTAGAAGTCTTATAGTGTATTCCAGTCTTTTAGGAGCGATTTTTGATTGATAGATTTAGTAGATTAATTTAGTAAACAATCAAAAGTTGTTTTCTGGCTTGACTAACTAGTCATTTCCTCCTATCACAGCCAAGCCAATCAGACCCGGTCAGCCCCCTGTTGCCTCTCCCACCCACCCCAATGTCAACCGCTCAGGGGCGGGGCTCTTCCAGAACAACCAATCAGTGGGCATCCGTGGTGGAGGCGTAGTCAAACAGTAAAATAAGTGAGTACATGCTGCAAAATACTTGTCACATTATGCAGGTAAAATGGGTTAGTAAAATGGGAAAGTATCTTTCTCCTTTTTCCCCCTCTATGTCTCTCTCTTTGTCACTCTTTCCAGCTGTCGAATGCTGAATTTAAGCCCAGTAGCCCCAGCTGAAGCTGATATCACCCCAAAAAGCTGAACAGGCATTCCACAGCACGGGAGGGTTCAATACTATACATATGAAAATGAATATAAGTATATATATATATGTGTATGAAACATGAAATACTATCCCCGTCTGGGCTGTACAGATGTTCCTCCATTCTTGTCTCTTATATCTTCCCTTTAAAAATATAAAGAAAACTTAAAAAAAAAAAAAAAGACAGGCTTTTGCACCAGTGTGTAACTAGCGTGTATCTCTTCACTCTTGCACAGTAGGTTTCTGCTCACATCCTGCTCTCCACATCCCTCACTGTGCCAAGTTGAATGTATTACAAAAGAAAAAAGGCAGAAATTAATGAAAAATGGAAAAAAGGAACAAAAAAAACAACAAACTACTAGCTTAGCTGCATTATTTTAGCCTTATGTACGTTCACATTTTGGGTTTGTTAGAGAGTTAGCTTGTTCTCTCTTGCTTTGAGTAGTTTCTATTGAACATTTCACCTAAAAAAGTAAGTTAAACACTATACAATTGAACTGTATTTATGGAACCATTGAACTAGTTTTTGTAATGATGGACATGTTCAGAAGAAAGATTTAAATTATGACGAAAGGGTCGTCTGAAAGTAGACAAACGAGATGCAGTTCCATGAAATGAGAACGAAAAGGCTGCTTAATGTAGACGCACCTGAGCTGCAGGTATATTTAAAGCACTGTACGAACACAAAACGAGAAATCATTGTTACAGCATAAAGGCCAGTGTGTATGTCACAGCCTGAGGTCTTAGATGAGTTGTAGCTAGGTTAAAAAAAACAATAATACTAATGTCATGTGCTCATTTCAATATTTAACTTCAGTTCTCACTGTTTAAACAGGTAGAGTTTGCCGTATCGATGCTGCTCCGTTGCTCAATCACTACAAATCATCAATAATCATGTGTGTGGATTTTTCCTCTTAGTTTTACCTACAATATTCCCAAGCAGGATTGCGGTTACATTGTTTTTAGTAGGCAGGGAACCTAGCTTTTAATTTTAGAGATTGTTGACCCAACGATGAACACTTGCATTATTATTTATTCATCCACATGTCGTTCCAAACCTGTTAGACTGTCCTTTCATCCTACACGAAAGGATATCAGAACGTTTATACATGGACAGACATGGTTAGACAGGGACAATTTCAAGCTCCAGAATGTCATAAAATACTATCGAGAGATTTTATTCCACGTCTTCTGAAGTCAAATTGGAAATTTAAGTCATTATTCACTTAAGATCTTGCCCTTCGTGGCTCTAAAATCTCATTTGCTTTGTCATTTGATTGAGATGTAATGGCATTTGGTGTCATTGACATCAAATGAGATTTTCATAGGTTGTCATATTTTTTTGTTTTTGGAGCTCCTTTTCACTACTTGTTTTAATTTTACAGAAAAGCTCAATTTATTAGGGTTAGGGACTGCATGAGAGTGAGGAAATGATGGCAAAAGTTTCATTTTTGGGTGTGTTAAGGGATTCTTGACTGTGGAAATGATCGCATCCCGCCCTTGTCCCCTTTAGAGAAACCCTCTTAATGGTTAATTTAGTGTAATTTTGTCGTTTTGTTGGAGTGAGGTTTGTGCGATGGTCAGACAGCCATTGAAGTCACATTATACCTACACTCCTGAGTTTTTACCTTTTGATTTGATTTTACTTGCGTTTTGGTACAGTTTAGTCCATTATAGGGTCCATATTTTGAAGTTTTGTGACTGAATCTTCAGTGGTTTGAGCATTGCAAACAACCCAGGGAAACCCGCACATCATTTAGTTCTGGCTCACACAACCAAAACGTGATTGTGGAACGTCTGCTGTGGTTTTGGTTGCCTTGTGATTTTGCGTTTGCTTATATCGACCTGCTGATTGGCTCTCTACAGTTCCAATGCTTTTCATTCAGCACAACGTTACTGCCTTTCATTGACTCGTGTTAATGGGTGGGGCCTATTTAACGGTGGGTGGGGTTTATTTAATCATTTTGTTGCACTTGCAACTAGGTAATATTGTTTAATTTATTTCTGTTTCATTATAGACTAGGGATTTTGCTGTTCATTTTATTTTGTTGATCTTTTTTTAAGTCTACGAATATCGTTTTTTCTTGAAGACAAGTATATGTAGATTCCAGTGTACTTGGTTTCCATTGCCCTCTGTTTTTCCATGTATTTGGATCCAGATCCTACTAGGTGTCCTGTGTAAATGACTGTAGTACTGTAGTAGCAGGGGGAATATTGAAGATGGTGTTTTACGACCTTTTGTGTGCAATATGAATCTGGTGTAGTGCACGTTTCGCAGTACTGAAGAAAAGCGACGGAGAGGAAATGAAAACCGCACTCAACAGTCCTCCCATTTTATTTCATTGGTTAATGCTCATTTGTCTAACAGTTGTCTTGTTCGCCGAATTTAATCTTTTAAAAGCACTTTAAAATGTTACCATCTCAATTGAAAACCGCACTTGTTGAAAACTGAAAATTTGCATCTCAAACATCGAATTCCTCACTGAATTTTATAATTATTGTTATTGAGGAGCTTCTGCAGGAGGTCATGTGTTTTGAAGACGGTGTCATTGTTTTTTTTTGTATTTCATTTTGCCTTGAATCTGCATTTTTAACAGTTGCTGGGGAAAACACTCCGTTTAAATGGCTCTAATGGAAAGATGTAATGATGATCAGATAATGTGTACAGTTGGTTCTTCAGAGTGTGTAGATTGAATTGCTGTGTATATTTCCTTCAGTTGCTTACTGTAGGCAAGTTTTCACCCCTTGACATGAAACGCAAATAAAGTATAGGGTAAAACACACTGAGTTTGTTTTTTTTTGCTCTTGAGAGTTGCATGCTAAGCCGTCTTCATTTTGTATTGCTGGAATTTATCTTCCGGGAACGACCTTATGGTTGAATTTAGGGATTGTAATGGTTATATATTGCTGCAGATATATTATGAAAGATGTAGAACCACGTGTAGCCATATGTCCTCAGGCTTACAGGGGAAAAAAATTACTGGGACTAATTACACAAAATTACATTTCATTTAGTTACTTTGATCAATGCATGAAAGGACCAAGTGGGGGAAGCATTGAAAAAGAAATGCCGTTTTCTTGGATTTATCAAGCCTGAGCTTATTAATGTAATAACATTCTAAAAAGATAATGTTTTTAAAATTATGTAACTTTGTGCGCCTTACTGTACTTGGTTAATACATATTCTACCTATACGTGTCTATGTATTTTTACACAACTTTTAAAAACATAAAAATTATACTGTAAATATCTCTCTCTCATACATACATGCATACATATATGAAACACTTTAAAATGTTTTTTTTTATGTATTTGGGAAATACATTAATATTATTATAATTATGGAAATGCAGATTTTTTCCCCCCGCTGATTTGCTTCTCAAACATTTATCAGTGTTGAAGAAAATGATAGAAAAGCAGTTGTGCTGCTTTATATTTTTTTAAATCATATATATTAGAAACTCGTTAGGCTAACAATACAGTGAAATCACTTGATGAAAACTTTACCTTGTACATTTTTTAAAAAAGGGGAAAAATTTACATTTTTAATGAAAAATTACTTTTAAAGAAAATATTATTCAGTAATGCTTTGTTTTCATTAAGAAATTTCACAAATGTTTCAGAAAAGACCTGGCAGATAAACAGAGGACCTCTTTGCTCCTGTCAGTGTGGTGAAATTTTGCATTGGCGCAGATAAAAGTGATTCGGTTTTGACTGATGATATTATTAGAGCACTTGAGGAAAGTGGTATCACTTTACGCTTTAATGCCAGACCACACACACACTCGCACTAGTGACTCAGCAACAGACTCTTGCCCTACGATCTGCACCAAGCGAAACTCTCCACACAGACACCATTGCATATAAACAACTTAGAGCTTGCTTCAAAATAACTCGCTTATAAATAGACCACCGACTATCCAAACGGGGATTTCCTTTGATACCCAGTGCACAGCAGTGACTGTGTAACAACCAGAGAGCTGCAGACCAGACACTGAGAGAGGAAGGACAACATCCAGAAAACTACCATAATGTCAGACGATCAACCCTCTTCACCTTCCAGCGACTCCTTGTGCCCAGGCTGCCAGGGTGAAGGGTCGCTGCTGCTACCCTGCGGACACACTCTGTGCCAGGCTTGCCTGCAGCTGTGTCAGGATGAGCTGGGACAGGACGGACCGGGCTGTACCGAGTGCTACGGCCGCGAGCTGCTGGACGGCGTGCTGAAGGGGCTGCTCGACTCGTTGTTTCAAGGGCAGCCGCAGCGGGTGGGAAACGGCGTGGAGGGTGGAGAGACGGCGGAGGATGGAGATCTGTGCAGACAGCATGGAGAGAGACTGACTCAGTACTGTATGGAGGACGAGGAGCTGATCTGTGATCAGTGTCAGGGAGAGGAACATGAAGCTCACGAGTGCAGCGCTATAGAAGAGGCCACACAAGAGTGTAAGGTGAGAAACAGATGCATTAAAACATACTTTAGCATTTGAGTTATTCAACATGAGGAGTTAAGAGAAGAAGTGTCAGGTAAAATATTTTAAGATGATTAGAGCAACTGTCATCAAAACTGCATGATTCTAGTGATGACCTATACATTGGCCAATACTTGGCCATTTTGAGTTTATCAGGCAATAAACAAAGGCCTTGATAAATCTTCCAATACTTTGCCCTTTTGAGGTTTCAAGCATGTAATTGAGTGTAATCTTAAATTATTGTACCATGTCCAGTTTTGAGTTCAAATTGTAATTGCAGTCTAGTACTATTATAAAATGTTTAAAAGACTATTAAAATATATTTTTATATATTTTTATTTATTTAAATAATGTAATACATATTTATAAAAATAAAAATATAATGTAATATATAGTGCTGTCAAACGATTAATCGCATCCAAAATAAAAGTTTTTGTTTACAGAATATGTGTGTGTACTGTGTATATTTATTAAGTATATATAAATACACACACATGCATGTATATATTTAAAGGGGTCATATGATGCTTTTTTTTAAAGATCATTATTTTGTGTATTTGGTGTAACAGAATATGTTGACATGCTTTAATGTTCA